ATGGGGCCTCGGGGTAAAGGTGGGTGCGCCAAGGGGGCTTGGGATCAGGGTGGGCTCGCAAGGAGGCCCTGGGCCACAGGGTGAGAGTGTATAAGGTAGCTGGGGCATAGCCAGGTGAGTGTGCAAGGGGCCTTGGGGTAGGGGTGAGCGAGTAAGGGGGCCCTGGGGCATGGGTCAAGTGTGTAAGGGGCCTCAGGGTGGAGGTGAGTGTGTAAAGGCCTAGGGGGAACGCACAAAGAGTCTGAGGTGTGGGGTGAGAGCGTGCAAGGGCCCCTGAGGCAGGGGTGAGCGTGCTAGGGGCCCAGTGTGCAGGGTGCACCTGGGGCTGAGTGTGCAATGGGGTGCTGAGGTAGGGGGTGGATGCGCAAAGGGGCTGGGGCTCAGGGTGCTGGCAGCCGAGCAGGGGTGAGGGCCTGAGATCAGCCTGGGCCGTGGGGCTGAGCGTGCCGAGGAGGACGGCACGACGAGGTGAGCGTGCAAGGGAACCAGTGCGCACATGTGGGTGCTGGGGGGCAAAGGTGCACCCTGAGGTGCTGGGCAGGAGCAGGCCGGGGGTGCGTGCTGGGCAGGGCCCCGGTGTCCTGGGGCAGGAGAAGAGCTACTTCTGCTAGGCTGCTCAAGGACACAAGCTCATACATCTGGGAGGAGGCTCCTGCTTTGGGCAGGGAAATTATAAAAACCTGCCTCCAGGCCTGCAGCTTCCTTTGTGTATTTTTCCTTTTTGTTATTGCTGTTCTCACGTGGAGTGGTTTGAGGTGTGCTAATAATAGCTACCATGGCTGAGCTGGGAGCGGCGCGTGAATCTGCTAGCTCATGGCTTTACATGCGCCTGGTGGTTTAAACTGTTTATCTGTCTCTCAGGTACACCTGCACGTCTTTATAAAATAAAGAAATACATGCTTCTTTTCAACTACATCTTTATTAATAAAAGATATTGCTTCTCTCTGCAAGCCTTGCTTCTCATATGTCTTTGGACTAGCACACCTCCAGCTGCCTTGCATTTTAATTACACACACATGCATCCTCCTGATACATGTGCAGGTGTGGGGAAGCAGCATTTCAGAGAAGAGTTAGTGTATAATTCATCTCCTGGTACTAATGCCAGGGGATGAGGGAAGCAGCTAAAACTGCAAATAATGCTGTGACAGAGAAAAACAAGAACAGAAGGCCTGGAGTGAGTTGCCCACATTCAAATGTTTTAGATCAGCTACGTTTGGGAGGGGGGGGTGGAGTGGGATTTGTGATGCTGTTTTGGTTTGGCATGTCCTGAGAATATCTGTGCCTGGAAACGGCTGGGATTAATTGCTGGTTGTGAGGCTCCCTTTACATAACGATTAAAAACAGGGAGCAGCTGAGGTCATCAGAAGGTGAAAAGGGCAAGGAAAGCTCAATTAGGGGCAGCAGCGGTGTGGTGATGGTGCTTGAAGCTGCCGGCCTTAGCTTGTTAACATGGGGAGCCAGCTGGGCCTCCTGGCTGGGCTCGCCCCAGGCTGAGTGAGCACGGGTGCTGGCCAGACGAGGCTGTGTAAGCCCCAGCCAGGGGCGCTTGGGGCAGGGCAATGAGCTTACCTCAGCCTAAACCTGTGGTGAAGCAGTCCTGAGGACTCAGCTGTGGCAGGACTAATTCCCTGCTTACAGTTAAATATTGAAGCTATCTGCCAGAGGTTACAGTTGGGCCACGTTAAATTAGGACCCTTTTTATAGCTTCCAAGATGTCCTCTGGGAGGGTGAGAGAGGCTGGCTAGTCCCTGGGCAGTGCTGATTCAGCCCAAGGACTTCATTCAAAAAGCTGTGCTATGCTCAGGGAAAGCTCTTTTCTTTCTTTCTTATTTCAGCTTTGGGGTTTTTTGCCTATTTAAAACGCTCCCAAAGCAAGTGCTCATCTTCTGTGTAGAAGCTGGAAAGCCTGAGGGGAGTCTGATTATAGCTTCTGTGCCAGGTTCCGCTCTGTTCCCTCTTTCTGCAGCTCCTGTGAGGCATATGTGGAAGGAAGGGTCTTTGATTAGATACTGTGCACCACAGTGAGAAAGCACTGTAAGCAGCATGGAGAACTCTTGCCCTGTCACACGTCTTCCCTTCTTTGGGGTAGCTCGGGCTATGTGTGTCACGGCCAAGCGTGACCCAGGTAGCTTCTTCCCACTTGGCTTTAAAACCGGCATGGAAGTATAGAGCAGAGAGCTCCTGGCCGTGCCCCGCGCAGTGTATCCAGGCAGTGCAAAGCTAACTGGTGGACTCCATCTCCCCATTACCAAATGAATAAATAGTAAAATGAAGTGCCAGCAGCTTCTAACTTTCATAGCGGAGGTATGGAACCATGCTTGCAAGTAATGTGTTCCCTTCCCTTGATGCTCTTAATTAATTCACTTCTGAGTTGCAGCTTGCTCCCCAGCTCTTTTAGCTGTCCCCTCCTGCCATTACCAAAACCCATCACTCCTGACTGGCTTGGCTCTTTGTTCTTCCGGTTTGCCTCACGCTTGGCACTCCCAGCGCGCCTTGCTCTGCTCCACAGCCTGGTACTGAATTTCTCGTGGGTCTCTGCCCCACACTGTGTGATGAGGGTGTTTTGTTTCTGTCTGACCACAGTTGCTTGTTGTGATTTTGGGTTGTTTCCTTCATGCTGCCAGGTGCAGGGAGGGTGTATGCTCCTGAACAGCCATGGCAGGAACTATGGTACGCATTGGTGACCAGCTCATCCTGGAAGAAGATTACGATGAGACATACATTCCCAGTGAGCAAGGTAACTGATGCATGTCCTAGTTGCTGCAAGAAGGGTTTCAAGCATGCTGAAAAAGTCTCAAGTATGTTAAGAAAACAGGAGTTTCATGTACTGGATTTCATGTCCTGGGGAGCTGAAAAATTAGCTTTCTGGCTGCAAGGATGTATGTCATTTTGCGGTCTCTGTCTCCCTGCTTTGGCAACGTGGTAGGATGTGTTCACTGACACACAGGACCTTATTGACGGCTTTGAGCAGCTTCATTCCAGGATTGGGCTTTCCCAGCGTGTCCCTTGCTTAGCTGAGGAGTTGGCATGACCTTGTAGAGCCTGGTGTAGACCATCTCCACAGACTCCACAATACCTGTTCCTTTGTCTTCCTAGAAATCCAGGATTTTGCAAGGGAGATCGGGATTGACCCTGAGAAGGAGCCGGAACTGATGTGGCTGGCCAGGGAAGGCATCGTGGCTCCGCTACCACCTGAGTGGAAGCCCTGGTGAGAGAGCTTCAGCAGCTGTTTGGTTAGCTTACTGGCCTCTCCTGGCCTTCCCCTTCTGTCCCTGTTTAAGTCGGGGAGCATGGCGCTGGCTGGCGAGGGGGGAAAGTGTCACGGCAGATGTACTTCCTGGGGACGGGGGAGCACAGTTCTTGGCCTGTTTCTAGAGCCTTTCGGGCCACTTGAATGAAGCTATATGTCTGCAGAGCAAAGACCCACCGTCACTGTGTGCAGAGCTAACGTGCAGCTTTTTCATCTTTTCGTGCTGCTTTTGCCACGCAGCCAGGATATCACTGGTGACATTTACTACTTCAACTTTGCTAATGGCCAGTCCACGTGGGACCACCCCTGCGATGACCACTATCGAGAGCTCGTCATCCAGGAGCGAGAGAAGCTCTCGGTACAAGGCAGATTGAAAAAGAAAGAGAAGAAGAAGAAGAAAGAGAAGAAAGACAAGAAAGAGAAGCAGTCGCTGAAGCAGGCTTCAGTGAGTATGCTCTGCCGCTTGCAGCCCCTCTGGGGAGGGAGCAGGAGGGGCCAGGCTGAGGGTGAATGAATGGCTGCGAATTAGAGGGTGATGGGGCTGGAGCAGCAATCCCTGACAAGGGATCCTGGCCAGGAGGGTTGCGAATCTGATGAAAATCCAAGGGAAATGGAGTCGCAAGCCCAGGAGGTTGGGAAATTTTAGGCAGAGAGGCCTGGAGCAGGGATGCCACAGCCCTGTGATGCTATTGCAGAGAGGGATATGGGCCAAAGGCTCCTGATGCTGTTCTTAGCAGATGTTGAGGGTTCTTAAGGGAATCTAAAAAAAAAAAAAAAGCTAAATCTCTTAATAGTGCTAAGGTAGAGGAGAGCATGCACCAGGAAACCACGTGCCAGGAAAGCAGACCCTGCCCCTTTTTCCTCAGCCACTGAACTTGCATGCAGAAATTCCCACTGCCTCCTGAATCTGGCTTCTCTTCCACACTTCTGGAATACTGTTGAGACCCCAGGCCACCTCCCGAGAGGGGCTGTCCTGTGTGGGAACGTGGGAAGCTGGGTACCTCCATTCCTCAGCTGGCCTTATCCCGTGCTCCATGATGCCATCAGACCTGGAAGTATGGACTGAGAGCTGCTTTGCCGTGCTGGGACTCCTCTGGTATCAAGTGCATCTGCTGCCACGTCAAGTCATGGTTACTGCTGGCTTGTGCTGGAATGTGGGTTTTCTGCTCGAAGCCCCCTAGGATGCATATGTTCTCCATGTCAGATATTGAGCCCAAGCTTGTTGCTTCTTTATGGCATACTGTCTTTTGGGGATGGAGTAATTACTATGCTGACATCATGTGTGTGGAGAGGGGGTTGCTGGAAAACATTGGACTGCCGGAAACATTTCTTCCTTTGAAGAGGACAACAGGCAGTGTTTACGTGGTGTGCAGGCACATGGTACTGTGATATGCAGGCACTGAATACAGGCTTAGATGCTTGAGGTTAGTCTGCTTTCCTGTTGGTAGCCTCAAGAGTAACCAAATTCCACTTATATCCTGAATGATGGCAACTTGTTCCTACCTTCCTTTAGCCAGTAATGAGCCAAGTGGCAGCAGATAAAGATGGTGCCCTGTATTGCCCCTCAAGGCACAGACAACTTAGTCTCAGACCTTCAGTTTGAGCATTTTCTTTTGCAGATATATATATACACGTATGTATGTATATATGGATAATTTCAAGTGCTCCAAAATGTATATATCTATCTCTATATAAATCTTATATTAAAAACATATGTGTCTGTACTTTAGATAAGGGTATACATAGTTACATGTGATACATCTTAGTTATTTGCTAATATTTATCTACTTAGGAAATGCAACCAGAGCCAGGGATTCTTCCTTCAATATCCTTTTGTCAAATACCCTCTGCCACTGTATCCTCTAGGCGGGAGAGTCCTGAGTTAGAACCGGATAGCCAGAGTAGCAATGAAGGCCTCCTTAACGTAGGCAAAGGGAAGACTGCTGGGAGACCATCGGATGTAAGTGATTCAAGCAGACAATTTGCAGGCGTGTGGCCAAATAAACTGAATCCCCTTCTTGTATCAAAGTTCAGCAGACCTTGCCGGATCTTAACTGATGTGGAGAAAGTTTTAGAAAAAGGTCCATCTTTTAGCAACTTTGATGTAGACATCCATCAAGACCAAGGTATGCCCTTGGAAATGCAAGACGGGTTTTGTCTTGATTCCTCTGACTCGGAGTCTGACGATTTGGAAGTTAGGCCAACAGGGCAGCCTTTCTGTGTGCCGAAGAAAGCCCGTTCACAAGACCTGGAGAATGTTAAAACTCTTCTAGAGGTCCCTGAAGACAAAATTCTACTGTTTGGGGAAGAAAAGCTGAAAGGCAAGTGGACGATGAAAGAAACGATAGGTGAGAGTGTCCGTAGGCCTAATGATGACTTGTTAGTCCGAGAGATATCTACGGGACCTGGCGGGGATGAGGGAAGAAGTCCAGGCTTATTGAGAGACTATGAGAAAGACCCCAGCCCAGAATCTGCATGTGTTAATATTATGATGGATTTTTGTGGAAAATATACTGCCCGGAAGTGTAATGGTGCTGAAGTACCGAAGGAAGTGAAGAAGGGAGATGGAAGGACAGATCAAGCTCCTGGAGCGTGGGGAGAGGAATTCACAGAGGACTCAAAGGTTCCCCCCATGTGTCTCTATCAGAGGTTTGACTGCCAGGGAAGCAGCAGTCCCCATCCGCACATGGAAGCGGAGCTGACCCAAACCAGAAAAACTGCTGAGAATTACAGCAAAGTGGAGGTTAGTGAAGGAGCAGGTAGGGATGAGGTATCTCTGGCCCTTGATTACCAGGAATGATGGCTGATTTGCTCTTGCCCTTGACATCATGCGCTTGAGACGTGCTTTTTCTCCAGTCAGTGGTGTGGCGAGTGTTTACCCCACTCTGCATGTGCAATACTCTACTCCCAGCAGCTGCCTGTGGCAGGATCCTCCCCTTCCCTGGGAAGGACGTTCCAGGTTGTTGTGTCTTTGTCCGTAAGTGATTGCCTCAGTTTAATAAGAACTTAGCAAATCACTTGTTCTGAAGAAAAATAAACTAAAAGGTCGCTGTGTGTAATGTTAATGAATTGCCTTGCTCCCCTATTTCTGGTACCCAGCTGCAACTCCACTGAATTGCTAGCTCAGGTTTCTATTTACCAGCGTGTGGTAGCTCTCAGCTAGCTGGTAATAACTATGACTATAAATATCAGATAAACTGCAGATTATCCTGAAAGTTTTAATTAGCCGGTGGAAGTGAGTTTGTCTTTGCTGAAGGACAACTCACATTCGCTGCTGCATACATATAGTTAATGGCCATCTGTAGAAAATAATTTGTTAAGCCTAGAATGTGTAATTTACCCTGTAACCGTTGATTTGGCAATGACTTGGTGGAAGACAGATCAGTGCACGTTCATCTCCCTCCCCCAACCCTCAGTGTGCTAGTGAATTAACTGTGTTTTCAGTCTGTAATTTTGTATAAACACAGAGTACAGGAACTGTGATTTTTGAATGCACGTATGCTCTGCTGAAGCAACAACACTTGGGTGTACTGGCATACCATAGACAGAAGAATTCTAGCATCTCTTTGCTCCTGGTTTAATACGTGCAATATATCACAAGGCAAGACTGCTCAGATGGGAAATTCCACCAAGTAAAACAAAAATGGTCATGTTTCTTGGTGAAGATAACTTGCAGTGTCAGTCATCCCTGCATTGTTCACAGGTGAGGGTGTTGCATGGCTCACAGAATTCTTGCTGTGCTTTAAAAGGGCGAAATGTATTCAGGAGCCTCCTGAATACGGCAGAGCTGCCTTCTGCTTCCAACAACTTTACCTCTTGGTGTAAGGTAAGGAAGCAGCCTGGATTTCTGTCTAAAAGAGGTGGTAATTGCAGCTTGTAGAGGGTAGGGTCGTCTTGCCACCTGAGTGGTTTGTATACCACGTGTTTCACACGGTACAGAATAGCAAGGTGAACCTAGAGGTGAAGCTGCCTCATTTGCCTAGGAGGGTGTGATGCTGACTGAGAGCCTGTCCTAGAGCATGCCATGTGTGTACGTGAGTTAGTGTGGCTGTTGTTATCCTTCTCACTTCAGTTTTGGAATAATGCCCGTTTATTTTCTGAATCGCTCTCCTTGCTACGGTAAAGTAAATCACCATATTCAGATGGATCTTTGGAGGGACAAAATGCATGAGCAAATCAGCCTGCTATTCCGTAGGCATCTGATGTGCTGGTAGTTGCTTGGTGCTGAGTGTCCCTTGCAGCTTTTCGGTGGTGGGGGTAGAGTCAGCATTTGCAGACCATCTTTGGAGAGGAAGGCGCTTGCTTTCTTTCTGGAATACCGAATGTGAACGAAGCACCCGTGCTTTCCTCTCAGTGGGTCCCCTTCTGCACACTCTAGTCTTCAGGCACCCTGCTGGCACCCGTCCAGGCTCCCTTGGGGAATCTCGCACCGTTGCGTGGCCTTGTGGACTCTTCTGCTCGTGTCCTTCGTGGCTCGTTGAACTCTGACGTGGGAAGCTCTGTGGACTCCAGTCTCCTGCTCAAAGGAGGAACTCAGGTAAAACTCCTTGGCAATGTACCTGCAAAGATGGACTTTGCAACTGGTCGCAGGGTTGGTGGTATTTAGAAGTTTAACAGACAGTATTTGTGGTCTATCCTCAGTGCTGAAATACTTTTGTCTGTGGAAAAAATCCCTTCCCTGCTTGCTCTCGCGCGCGCTCGCTCGCTCTCTCTCGCTATGTTTCTCCTCTTCTGCTATTTCTAGGGAGCCCAGTGCTAGATTTGTGTTGACCTTTCTTCTGTTATATTTAGCAGCTTTAAGGAAAGCATTGTTTCAATTGCTTAGCTCATTTTAGTTGAACTTCAGTTTCTGTCCAAGTGCATGCAGCATTACATACAGTACAGATAACGTAATCTGAATGAATGAACATTATTCTGTAATGAGTAATATTTTCACTCACTATTATCTAACAAGATAGAAAAGTAAAAGAACAAATATTTGGGTAAATGTAAGTTTGACAGTCGTGCTGAACACAAATATGTGGAACGTATCCTTTGGGTCAACGTAACAACAGTGTTTTATAGGAACATTGACCCTTTAAAGGAAAATAAAAAACCTGAGGCAAATCAACACTTTCTTTGACGGTTTCTTTCTAGCTGACTTAAGTTCTAATTGTCATTGGTGATTTCAATCGTTTTATGGTAATCAGTTCACTCTGTGGAACTGGCTGTGTGTCCCTTTTTACCTCCAACAAAGTGATCTGAAGAGAACACATCCGCTGAAGTTGGTCTTGGCTGAATCAGTGTTTTGAGACGCAGGAAGATGCAGATGCGTTTCTGTAGCAGATGTGTTTCCCCCTTTGGTATAAGGGAAAGTGCAACCTTGTAAAGAACATGCCATCTCCTATCCTGACATGGCTCTGCAAAATAAGGATAGCAGTATAACCCTGAGCAGGTTCTCATAATTCAGCAGCTTGCCTGCCGCCGACTGGTTTGCAAGTCCAGTGACTTGGAGTGGTGTTGCTGTTGTGTGCTTCAGTCAGTTCGTATCTCCCCTTTCACTTCAGCTCTCCTCTGGCTTCCTCTTCTCTTTTGGACTTCACAGCCTGCAGAGACCTGTAAGCCCTCCAGCCAGACCAAGAAGTTGCTGGGACTGGTCTGTGAAGAGAAGAGTTCCTTAAACACCACGACTCAAGATAAAAGGAGAAGTGAAGAGGAAGAAAGTGAGAATGAGGTGGGTTGTGTGCCTTGGCACTTAATATGTTTTTCTAAGCACAGTGCATAAAAGCCCTGGGGAATGTTCAACTGTAATCCTACCCCCAGGGGTAGCTGACTGACTATGGTTAATCAATTTGAGAGCTTTGGGCTTTAACTTGCACTGCATTTCTTGTATGTATTGTTTGATCTCCAAAAAGTATCTAATCCTGTTTTTTTCCCCCTTACTCCCCATAAACCAACGTATGCCATGATATATTTCCAGAATGAACTGATCGTAGGCTTCTTGCTTTGGTGTATTGCTATGATTCTGCTCCCTCGTGAACCCCCGAGTTCCTTCTGTGTGGCCTGAAAGGGGATTGCAGGGATCAGAACTCACTTGTATCTTTTTCCTCTTTTGAATACCTTTAGAGTCTCCGTGGAACTGCAAGACTGTTCAAAAACCTGCACATGGATATCAGTGCCCTGGGAGGCAGCTTTGAATCTGAGGTAAGACAGAGGGTGCTGTGAAACAGCCATGTGGAAGAAATGCCTGAGTAGAAGAGGAGCTATGGCACTGCACAGCCAGCATGTGGGCTGCAGGAGTGAGCGCGCAGGAGAGGTGCCAGATGAACTAGTTGCATGTGTAAATCATGAGAAGTAACAACGTGGAGGAAGGGCTGATGGAGGGGAAGGCACAAAAGCAGGGCTAGGAGGAGTGTGAGGGTGGAGTGTATGAGAAGCCAGGTACAATCTGTAGCGGGACAACAGCATGGGTATCAGCAGGCAGGTTTGTAGTGGGAAGAGAATGATTGCGCTGGGGTCTGGGCAGCCAGCATCTTTGCACGCGATGGAGTTTCATTTTATTCTGAATGAAGAAAGAGAAAGTTAAAGCCATGTAGGTATGACAGGTAAGCTGGAAACCTTCCAGGCTATGGCAGAAAGAAAGAGCTCGGATCCAAGAGCTGCCAGCAGGCCTGCTGTGGGGAGGGAGGGTTGCTGAGGAAGAGGCAGGGTTTGTTTTCTCATTGCTTTTTCCCATGAGTGTAGAAAGTTGCAGTGGTGGTGTTTGAAGAGAGGAGGGAGAATTTATTCTGGAAATGCCATCACCGCATTGTCACTCCGTTCCGCAAAAATCTCTTAGAAACTTTGGTGTGGACTGCGTGTGGCTGCTTCTTGTGTGTTGACTTAAAATCTATTTCCTTTCCTCTTGCACTACTGATAAATTCTATTCCTTGGGCATTGAGCGTCAGCGATGAGTTCAGCGCTGGCATGGCCCTGTGCAGACGTTTTGCTGTCCCTGCGGGTGTGCGCTCTTTGCCTGCACTTTCTAAGCGGTGATCAGGCTTAAGATGACAAGGGGACAATGGGAAGTGCGTTGCAAGCAGCACTAGCGATTTGGCCCGACTGCACTGACATTAATCCTTTCTCATCGCTTTGAAAATTTTGTTCCAGCGTCTGAAAGGCAAATTAATTTCTTTTAAAATGTTTTACAGTATTTCCATTTCACAGCATAGAAAAATTAAGCTGTAAAGTACTTTTGCTGGAGAACCCATTCACAGTGCTAGGTCTAGACTGCAAAGGCTGTGTTAAAGTGGATGTGAAAAAGAAAGACCCAATTCTCTCATCATCTCCAAACAACAAGAAGGCTGCCGGAGTCCAATTCATCACTGAAATGTTAATGTGTCCCAGGAACAAAGAGCTCTCTTGGCATTTCAGTGACACGGCAGGGCTTCAGGAATATATTATAAAATGGCAATTGCCGCCCAACAGCCAGGCCGTGTCTTGAAAAGTAGCAACTCAGATGGGTGGTATCTCGTCCTGATAAGTTATTAGTGCCACACTGGCAAACATAATTCACGTGTAGTTCCATAAGGTGGCAGTAGAAAAGCATTCCTATGGGTGAGCTCTCAGCTTGCATGCCAAGCCATTCTCCAGCTTCCTTACAAAACGGAGAGGAGGAAAGGATTCATTAAACAGGCCCTACAGAAGGGCAGTCTGAGAAGTAATGGGGTGGTGTGATGAAAAAGCTGGTGAAAGGTAGTCTGTGGGTCAGAGTTGAATATCCACATGTGAAGGACATAAGTGAGGATTTAGCGACCTACTGAGATGCAAGGAGGAGAGTGGAAGCTGCATGAAGATTGCACAGGCCATCTTCGTGGCCTGGGATGGGGGAGAGGAAGGAGAGCAGGAAAGAAATGCTACCCCCTTCAGCAGGCTTTTCTGCAGCAAGGGGTAACGTGATTGGGAAAAAGGTACTGGAAAATAAAACCCAGGGCAGCTGCTAGAGAACTTGAGGTGTGGGGTTTGTCCCTAATAGCTAGAGTGTCCTCTTAAAAAGAGTGCCTCTTGTGGGGAGCTTGGTTTGCTTGGCTGTTTGTGGGATTAGCTATTGTCTGAACCCAGTTTTCTTGCCTCTTGAATTTCTGTGATGGAATAATTGCTGCAGACAGGCAAGACTGTGCTTTAATATATGAAAGAACTTTGGGGTACTACTGAAAGGGGCAAGAGTTTGGAAAAGGCCTGGAAGCATCTCTCAGAGGATGCCTGGAGAGAGGATCACACGTGACAGCAGAAGTGATCCCCAGACTGTACTGCTTGCAGTTTGGGAAGCTTTAGTACTCTGCCTTCTGTACAGGTCAATCTCTGGGTAAACATTTGGAGTCAAGGGGTCCTTTATGTGGTGGGAAATTAAAATGCAAGGCTTCTTTACCAGATGGAAATGTGTGAAAAGGAGCTGTCTCTGTAAGTAAACATTGCACAATACAGCATACGTGTTATTGCAGAAATGTATGTGCAGGAAGCAGTGTTGCTGGTTCCAAGGAAATTAAGACATCCATAAAATATCAGTGCAGGCATGACTAGCTGAAGGGGAAGAATAGCTGATGTGTTCGTAGCCTTGCTCTCTGTCATGCTGAGCTGGAGGAGCACGGTGAATGGCTGTAGTGAGCTGGTACTCATAGGAAGTGGAGCAAGTCCTGTCTGGCAAAACAGCAAACTCACTGAGCTGGCCAGCAGTTTGACTTTTTAAAAAGCATCAGCAGTAAGGCATGCAGAGCATAGTTTGACGTTTGGGAATCTGGGCCTGTGAGCTCCCGAGTAGAGCTCGGAAAGCTGTTCAGCTGGAGAGGTTTCTGCTATGAGGGTGCTTCCAGCAGGTGATAAGCAGGGCAGAGACCTGTCACAGGGAGACGACCCTACACCGTCCCCCTGCTTGTGTAGAGCCACATCAGATCCCTCCTGCGGAGGGTCCTGGATGGAAAGCAGGTGGTGTGTCAGGGCGCTAGGCTCCGGCAGCTGGGAGGCGCAGCAGAGCGAGGTCAGTGTGGCGTGAGCTCGACCGGGGTGGTGGTGGAGGATTTTGGGGAGCAGAAGCAAGGTCACAAGGCCCCGTACACGCAGCCTCTCAGAGAGCGCCTCTCAACTCTGAGCGTAGCAGGCAAGAGGGCTGAGCAAACCCTCAGGCGCTCTCTTAGCACTCCTGCCGACCCTTTGCTTGATCCAGTGTGTCAAAATTGATTCCCATGATTTATTTTAGGAGAGAAGGAGGACTGTCAAGTGTTTAGTTCAGTTAATCAGCTACTTTTCTTCTCAACTATAATTTATATTTCAATAACATCAGCAAAGAGAAAGATGTAAAATGTGAAATGCCTTTTTTGGTAATATTAGCTTGTATTACTGTATGGTAGGAGTGAGGAGAGAAGCAATTGAAATGCAAGCTCAGAAAGGCAGCTTGTGAGTTTTGGCTAGCAGGTGTGTCACCCCACTCATTAGGAGAGCAGCAAAGCCATGGAGGAAAACCGTGGCAGCCGGTTAGCTGATGTCACTGAAGCTGATCTCCAGCACCGAAGGAGCCCCGCAAAGGAAGCTGGAAGTCCGAGAGAGGTGATGAGCGGCTCTCTGACATCGTGGGCCTGCTTGCATGATGTCGTTGAAGCTTCGCATGCAGTAGGAAGTAGGCTGCTTCTAGTGTTGTGGCGTGCGTCCGGTTGTTGTTTCATTTGTTTCTTTTGCTGGTTAAAATATTACATTCGTGGGAAGAGGTATCAATGTAAGAAATGAGCAAATGCTTCCCAGATGAGGTCTGCCAAACCTAACCTGCTCTCTGTACTTCTGTGCCTGAGAACAGCCTGAATTCAGGAGCCTATGGGGAAGTGCGCTCAGCTTTCAAAGGAATTCTGTATGCAAAATGAGATTTTTCCCTCCCCCCCCC